GGGGGGGGGGGGGGGGTTTTTTCTTCCCCCCCCCCCCCCCCCCCGGAGACCCCCCCAAAGGCTTCAGGATGCTTCCCTGAAGGCTCCAGACAGCGAAAAATGGCCGTATGGGCAAGCTGGAAGTCCGTTCCCTAACTTCTGGTTTGTGCATTGAGTTTTTTTTTGCCCTCAGGAGGCTTCCTCCAGAGGGTGGAAAATAGCCGAAAAACAAGTCCGAAGTCAGTGGTGCCTCGTGTGCCCTAACAAATGGCTCCGGGTGCCACCTGTGGCACGATGTGCCATAGGTTCGCAAACACGGTGCTAGGCTGAAAAAAGCAAAAATTGTCTTCCATAACGGTGAATGGCAAAATGAGAGTATCCCCCAACAGATGCCTTTATTGTATTTATTCCCCTCTCCAGAGAAGCAATCCCGCAATAAGGCCCTGAAGAAAGCAAACAAAGCCTTACTGGAAGAGAACAATTATTTGAAGCTACAGCTTGAGCTGCTTATGGACATGCTGATGGAGACCAGAGCACAACTACACTCAGTAGAAAAAAATATTGACACTACTGCTTTGCATTCAAATGTGAAAGAGTCAAATATTAAGGTGCCGATGCTTTGATAAACAACTTAGATAGAAGACCTAATTGTATTTCTGAAGTACTGATGTCCAGACCCTTAATACAATATTGCAAAGAATAATTTTGTAATGGCTTTGATTGTGCTTACTGTGTTTTGACTCACTGAGGTGTTGGGGAGAGAGGAGAACCTGCCTTTATACTGTATATTCAGTTCCATTAATGGCTGGACTCACTATCAGCAGCAATTGCTTCTTGGATACTCTTTGCTTCTGATGAGAGCACTTGTCCCAGAAGCAACTCTCCAGCATGACTTCCAGGATACCGATTCCACTGTTTCTGCTCTTATTTCTAGCAGATGTACATAAACGGGAATTTCCCATGTCTACAATAGGCTAACAGCAGCAGCTGGCGGTGTCACCTAGCATGGACTACTGCTAGAAGTCAGATGTTCTGTTGTGTGACTGTCACCTTTCTCTTCCTAACAATCCAGTATCTGCTATCGGAGAGCAATGCAATTAGAGTAGCAGATTTCTTTTAATTCAGGGTGCTGCAGATTGAATCTGAGGCTCAACATCAATATCATGTACTGATAGTGTATTGTAATCAAGCATACTGATATATACAAATGAAGATGTTTTTTCAACTGAACTCCCAGTTTGTGTTTGTGTGTACACGTACACACACACACACACACAGAAACACAATATACTGTACATCTAGTTTTCTTTCTGCCTTGACAAGCTGGCTGAAACATACAAGCATTTAATACTACAGCTAGTTTGCATAAACCTGATTCTAGCAATTATTTGGTATTATATGCACAGGAAGATTCAAAGGAAGAAACCTGTAGGAAACTTCTGCAATTAGTCCTTGACTTACAATCACTTGCTTAGTGACTGGTTACAACAGCACTGGAAAAAAGTGACTTTTGACTGTTATAACATTCCCATGGTCATGTGATCAAAATTCGAATGCTTGGCAACTAGTTTATATGTATGATGATTGCATTGTCATAGGCTTATGGGGTCAACTCTTGTGACAAGCAAAGTCAATGGGAAAGCCAGATGCACTTAATAACTGTGTTACTCATTTAAAAACTGCAGTTGTTCACATAACAACTGTGGCAAGAAAGGTCATAAAATGGGGTTAAACTCTTAACAAATGTTTTGCTTAGTAACAATTTTTGGGATTAATTGTGGTCATAACTGAGGACTAGCTATATGGGGGAGGGGGAGTAAGGGAGAGTAATGTTTATATAGAATATACAAAAATTAACTAGATTTCCAACCAGATCTTTCTGACTTTAGTGGAAAAGTATTAAGTCACTTTTGCGGCTGTTGCTTGGCTTGAATCAATTTGCATGAAAATTCATGGCTGCTTTATTTGTCGTTCTAGGATTTAGGTATGGCTAAGTTGACAAAGATGACTGATGAGTTGGCTCTGGAGAAGAAAAAGGTGGATCTTAACTTTCCGCTTATGTGCTAAATAATAAGGCAATAGCTTTTATAAAATATACTGTATATAAAGTCAACTGAAGTCCAAGCCAGTAAAACACATTTAGTTCTTTACTCCAATGCACCCAGTGAGCTTCTTCTTGCTTCCTTCTTTGTGATCGTTCTGCTTTACTCTGGTTATTTCACCTTAGAGTTTATGTAATATTTTGTTGAAAATGTTCTTGCTGATAAAAAAAGTATGTTGATATGCTAAGGTTATCTTTTGCTGACCATTTTATGGATTCTATTCCTTTCCCAATTAGATAAGCAGCAGTGCTCACTGAACCATCTGCATGTTTTCTCCAACCTGCCTGTAGACCATGACTATAACAGAGATATTACAGAGTGTTGGAACATCTGAATATGAAGCTCAAAAAGTACTGTCTGAATTCTTCTACACTTTCACCTAATTTGAAAAGAGGTGCCATAATGACACTGTGAAATATTTTTGGATCTGCAAAACCTGCTGCTAAAGTTTGTAATATTTAAATATTGAAGAAGCACACATCATTCAGTAAAAATATCAGGAATCTGGTAGAATCTTTTCAAATTGACACATTTATTAAAATACATAAGTGTTTGTGAGCTGCTGCTTACTCATTAAGTGGATAGCGTGGTAGAAGTGAGTTGCAGCACACAAAAGCGTCTGATTTTTGGCTACCATAGCCTAATGTGGCTCTTCTGCTAGTATAGTTTTATGCCTTGTTTTTATACTTTACGGTTTTGGTTTTTTAATTGCTGGCCAACACAAATGAATTAAGAATGACTGGAAAATAATGGGAGTTGAAATCCACACATCTTAAAGTTGTCAAGGTTGGGAGACACTGTACTAGACAGATACTGTAGAGAAAGATAAAAATCGAGGGAGGACGCAAAGAGAAGAAGGCAGCAAAAAGAGGAAGGAAATAAATGGGAGGAGATAAATCCAGATACAGGGAGAATAAAGACGGAGAAAATGATATACATACTGTACATACTTACATTGACAAGGCATTAGCAGGAAACTTGTGAAAGCAGGAAGGCAGCTCCCTCCCTTTATGTTAAATAGAGCCATAGCTTTATTCCTTTGTACAAATGAAAAAAATGACACTATTTAGAGTAGCCATTGATACTGCCTTAGGAATTTCAGTACTGAACATGTAGTCACGCAATATTTTGGTATATCAACTATACCATCAACTTATGTTACTAGAATCCACTTGTCTAACATGCACACTTCTATTGACAGTTCAAAACTACAAATATACAGTACTACATATCACATAGGAAGGGATGCTAAAAGCACATGGATATTTGTTAGAAAATCAACAAAATAAGATTGTAAAATCAAATTAATGTAAAGAACACTATTTTTTTTTGCCAGCTCATACAATTTATATGCCTCTGGTAATGAAAGCAAGTTAAAAGTCCATTAATAAGTCTGCTAATGCTGAAAAAGGCTCACTTATCATACCTGGAACAAATCTTTTGAAAAACGTACAACATCCCTTTTTCAATTGCTTAAGCGTTTCTAAGAATTTGCAACTGATCTGAACAAGTCTGAAACTTCAGCAATGGAAGAAAATCTAATACCATTTTCATGGTGCAACATGGTCAATTCCTGGTTCTGTAAGTTGTGAGGAGTTAGGCAATAGAGTTAATTTAATGGCTCCAATAAACAGATGTTAGTGTATTGCACAAACATACCAATCTTGACAGTTATCTTCAAATTAATGTAGCAAGAAAAAAACTTAGAAAACCATTGAAACTATATTTTGTCTTTTAGTTAATTAATTCAAACAGATCATCTTTATTTTTAAAAATATGTGAAAGGCTGAATATGAATAAATTCTGGTATCAGATACTTTCTCCAATACAATAACAGTTGAAAGGGATCTTGGAGGTCTTCTAGTCCAACCCCCTGCTCAGGCAGGAAACCCTATACAATTTCAGACAAATGGTTGTCCAATCTCTTCTTAAAAACCTCCAATGTTGGAGTACCCAGAACTTCTGAAGGCAAACTGTTCCACTGATTAATTGTTCTGTCAGGAAATTTCTTAGTTATAGGTTGCTTCTCTCCTTGATTAGTTTACATCTATTGCTTCTTGTCCTGCTTTCAGGTATTTTGGAGAATAGATTGATCCTCTCTTCTTTGTGGTGGAACATGGCGTTCATGTCACCCCTAGTCTTTTTCATTAAACTAGACATACCCATTTCCAGCAACCATTTTTTCTATATTTTAGCCTCCAGTCCCCTAATCATCATCTCTTCTCTGAACTCTTCCTAGTGTTTCAGCATTTTTTTTCACTGTGGTGATCAAAACTGGATGCAATAAGTGTGGTATTACCAAGGCATTATAAAGTGGTCTTAGCACTTCATGTGATCTTGATTCTATCCCTCTGTTAATGCAGCCCACAACTGCAATGGCTTTTTTAGCAACTGCAGCACACTTCTGGCTCATATTTAAGTGATTGTTCACTAGGACTCCAAGATCCCTTTTGCAATTACTACTATTCAGCCAGGTACCAGCCATCCTATACCTGTGCACTTCCTTTTTCTTGCCTAAATGTAGAACCTTTTTTCACCACTTAATTTTGTTTTGTTAACTGGGGCCAAATGTTCAAGTCTGTCAGGATCCTTCTGTATTTTAAGCCTATCTTATATTTACACAGTTTTGTTTCTGTGGTTTATGGGCTTAGTGTTGTGCTTTTGGGTAGTTTTTAAATTTTCCAATATTTTGTTGATCATTACATCTTTAATTGAAAAAAATAAATGAAAAACCTGATAGTGATTTATATTATGTCAACATATATTTAAGGTAACATATCACCCTGCAAAGTAAACCTCACTTTAGATGAGCATTTTTTTAAAGTAGCCTGGTGGTCCATTTATGATTGTTGATTTTGTGAACCATTAAATTTTGCTAATTGAATACACCATAGTCAAATCAACTATAGATAAACAGATCACACACACCTTACTCCAGAAACCTTTATTAGTCTTTTCTTTTTTGGGGTTGTAGATGAATGATTGGCAAAATGGAAAAACCAGACACTCTTGATTACATTTGTAAACTGCAATGGGTAGATACTTGAACTAATCTCATTATGTTCTAGAATAGATCTATGCTTTTGATCCAAGGCTAGGAGTACCCACATATTAAGGTGGGATGGAGGGGATGATAAACATGCATAACACATTTCAAGAGATCTGATAGATCAAGTGAACAATTCATTCAGTTTAGCATTTTGTTTATACAATAGCAGAGTAAGCACAAATGTGGACAATATGATAGGAGCTCTCTGTTGAAATCTGTGATTTCAAACAACAAACACATACAAACTTTTCATTAATATCTTAACCCATGAATCTGGCCAATCTCCATTTAGCTACAGTTAAGGAATAAAATGGCCATATTTTCAGTTCTTACTCCTTCCTTATTTTAAATTATGGAAGCTAAATCCTAATGAAAAATGTAAAAATCAGAATAAAGTAAAGGCAAAATATTAACAAACTAAGCTATTCCTAGTGAATAGAGGAATTCACAGAGGTTTGCTGTATTACTCTGT